AACTAATGAAGATAATTTTTCAAAACTGGGTAACTGTAGAGTTCTAGTTTAATAACAAAGAGATTCTCTAGAGTAAATACTTGACAATAACAGTAAGGTGCTCCCAAGAAAAGTGGGAAATAAATATGTCCTCAACCTGGATCAGAAGAGAGAAAAATTTCTTTTAAAAGAAATTAGTCTAAGTTCAGAAATAACTTCTTATATAACCCAACGGAAGACAAAGTTTGTGGAATGTGTCTGTTAAAAGCCTAGAAATACAAAGAAGCAGAGTCTTACAGGAAAATGAAGACAGTACCTATTTAAGCATTGTCCAGGAGAGGAGTCTTAGAATTACTACCCCATGGTAAGGCTATCTCTATGTGAAGATGAGTGAATCAAGCTATCTTAGCTTGATGCCACTGAATATTCAAATTATAAAACTTCTTTTGTTCTAATTCCTTGCTCACCAAGCAATCTTCTGATTATAATTTGGCTTCCCATGTGGATTGTCTACAGGGAAACAATGAGCTGGTCAAGCCAGCAGGAGTATCTAGATCTTCTGGCAGTTAGGTTTCGCACTGTAAATTAATAAATTGATATTCTCCAATGGATCAGTGTCCTGGGAGCCTGTTCCATTCAGCACTCCTTTGTCTAATCAACTCTAGTAGGATGACAAAACTGAGTTTCTGAATATGCAAAGGAAAGGCTCAAAGGAAAGGCTCAACACTGGCCAGTGCTAAGTTACTGAGGCAAAGGCTGCTAGACAGGGCTAGGTCTGCATCATCAGTCAGCCTTCCCCAAGAAATACCTCAACTTCAGAGCATTTTTTCATTTTACATACTCTATTATGTGCACAGTTGTTTTTAACCCTGTTTTAATGCTAGTATCATCTGAAATTTAAAAAAAGATAAGCTGCTGAAATAAGGAGCGCCTTTGAGACATCAAGGATTGTGAAATTTTTCAAGGTGTATATGGACTATAAAAGTCTTAAATCTACCTATTTTAAGAAACGATCACATTAACAATCTTAACTTTGGCACTTCATGGCAAATATGGTTCTGATGAATGTTTATTCTGAAACTAGAATATACTGCACCTACATTAAAACACCTTGCCCCTCAAATAAATAATTCTTACATTTTAAGAGTAACCTGTAACAAGTATGGTTGAGGGTGATGGAACATTCAGCTAATTTACCAGGCCTACCCCTAATCAAGCTCTTCCACAATCCTTGGTAACCCTGAAGAAGGTTCCACTCCTCATTTACTCTCCCTACCATTTTTCAGACCTGCCAAAAATGCTTCTGCTGTGAATTTTCAAATCTGGTATTTTGAGATGGTAACAGCGATTACCAAATGTATTAGAAGCAATCCTTGATTGGTTTAAACATCACCAATATGTTGAAGAATCTAATTTTGCCTGTCTTCTATTCTAAAAACAGATGAATTTGATGAACCACAACTATTTGACTGAATATAAATTTACTGCCCAGGCAAAGATTAGAAACTAGCACAGAAGTAGATTAAACTAAATTTGAGGCAGTGTCAAACTAGGATTTCCACACATTTTTAGAGGACTTATAGAATGAGAGGAAAAAAAGGAATCTAGTTTTGCTATTGAGGCGGAGCTGGCCCTTAAAATGGATATTAAGGTAAAGTAATATCTAATGATTCATTCTTATACTTTATAGGAACTCAATTCCAAGAGTAAGTATGCACTTTTAAAAAGGAGAGGCAGAGAAGCAAAGTGTTTAAAGTGTGTTAAATTATAAATGTGAACTATTGGTTTAAAAAGCTTAAAATAGAATTTTTTTTCACCCCCAGTAGTAGTAGGGAATGAACCCACTACTGAGCTACATCCCCAGTCATTTTATTTTTTATTTTGAGACAGTCTTGCTAAGTTGTCCAGGCTGGTCTTTAATTTGTAATCCTCCTGCCAGAGTCTCCTGAATGGCTGGGATTATAGGTGTGCACCACCTGGCCCAGCTGGAAAAATGTTTATGAAAGGAGATTTTAAAACACTGCCTATTATACATTACCATTCAAGGTCTATTAACATTGTTTATAACATTATTACAGTATAGGGGCTCCTTCAAGTTTTTCAGTAGTGTAGAAATAAATACCAGCAATAATTAAAGTAGCAAGTGTAAATTCAAGATAAAAATGACAACTCTGGGAGCCATAGAATACCCATAAAAACATCTATTCAATATATTGTTGCTACTTGAATGTGCAAAAAAGAATGTATAACATTTTAGATGGTACTTGGGACACTCAAAAAACACCCTATTCTATGCTGGTCCATCCTTTGGCCATTAATGTTGGAAGGATGTTGGGGCAGGCATGTATCACAGTTGAACAAATAAAGGAACAATGTCTAGCTTAATTAGCAAGGAAAGATAGTTTATCACCCTTATCTACTGTTGAAATACAGTAAAATACAAGAACAAAAATATCAGTTACCCATCAACTAGCTGTGTAGTATCACAAAACCAAACAACAATATGTCTGCTATCACAGATAAGTTCTGTTCTTGATTAGGCAAGATGAAATATTCATTTCAAATCCTGTTGTTAATGTATATAAAGATGAAAACCTCAAATTTAAAGCCAAAAAGGAGACTAGCAAACTGAAGCCCTGAGATTTAAAAAAATCAACCAATCTACAAATTGATATAAGATTCTTTTCAACTACCAAAAAAGGAAGCTGGCTAAAACCTAACAAGGACATAATATCTCCTGTGACTACACACAGGACTACTAAGGTAAAAGCACATCAGAAATCTAGCCACTTTTATGGCTGTTGAACCTTATAGAGAAATAATTAGCTTCATCTTTCTAATTCTGTATCTTGCTTTGGTTTTACTAGCTAGATTATGCAATTATTTACTAATGGTTATAAGAATCTTCTTCCTCTACCTTTTCCCAACTCAAGAACCTTCCAAGAAAGAAAGAAAATGGTTTATTAAATGCATTTAGATTGGGGCTGGGGTTGTAGCTCAGTGGTAGAGTGCTTGCCTCGCAAGTGTTAAGTACTGGGTTCGTTCCTTAGTACCACATAAAAATAAATAAGTAAAATAAAGGTATTGTGTCTGTCTACAACTAAAAATTTTTTTTTTAAATGCATTTAGGCTCTGTCTAATCCCCATTAAGAGGAAAAAGGAACTGAAGATTGGTGCCTGTTACATGCTGTATACCATGTTAAGTACTTTTCTAGATGCTTCCTTATTTAGTTAAGGTAAGTGCTAGCCAGGCGTGGTGGTACATGCCTGTAATCCCAGTGGCAGGAAGATCTCGAGTTCAAAGCCAGCCTCAGCATCTTAGCAAGGCCCTAAGCAAACTCAGGGAGACCCTGTCTCTAAATAAAATATAAAAAAGGAGCTGGGTGCAGTAGAGCATACCTGTAATCCCAGCAGCTGGGGAGGCTGAGGCAGGAGGATGGCAAGTTCAAAGCCAGCCTCAGCAACTAAAGGAGCCCTAAGCAACTCAATGAGACCCTGTCTCTGAATGAAATACAAAAAAGGACTGGGGATATAGCTCAGAGGTTAAGCACCCCTGGGTTCAATCCCCAGTAACATATTACTACACACACATATATATATACGTATATATAGAGAAAAAGGAACTGAACATTGGTGCCTATTACATGCTGAAAACCACATTAAACACTTTTCTAGATGCTTCCTTATTAGTTAAGGTAAGGGCTAGACAGGTGTAGTGGCACATGCCTATAATCCTAGAGCAGTAATATCAAGAGTTCAAAGCCAGCCTCAGTATCTTACCAATATCTTACACACACACACACACACACTTAAAATATATAAATATATAAATAAATAAAAGAGCTAGGGATGTGGCTTCCAGGCTTTAATCCCCAGTACCCCTGCTCCCCCAAAAAAGGTAAGTACTATTTTTATTTGTTAATGTCAAACCTAAAAATTCTCAATTTTAAAAGGCAAGCTTTGAGAGGCAGACAAGCAGAGTTTTCTAACTCATTACATATTAGACTGAAAGAAAGCACCAAGAAAGAACAACAGTGAACAGTGAGTTTATCCCAGATTTCTAATGCAGTACTCAATAGATAAACAGGAGTTCACCATAATAGTGAAGGACATCTTTTAAGGCTATAGGTTTTCTCAAAAAAATTGAATAACCAAAGAAGGACTCTAAACTATCCATGATGAATTATTCAAAAAGTCAACATTTAGGGTAAGGTAGCTGGACAGAAAAAAATAAAGTGTAAAAAATTTTAATTTGTTTAAATAGAATCTGATATGTGGAATATGCAGTTTTACCACCAACAATGCAATAGTGCAGCAAAGGTAAGGTGCTTTTATCGTAAAATGGGATCAAATGAAACTACAAAATGCCTGTCATAGGAGGCACTGTTCCCTACATGAATTTGTCTCGAGACTTTTAACCAGACAGGGCAAGGTTGTATTTATTGGAATTGCTGGTGGATCAGGAAGCACTTTATCACATAAACATGTGTTTCAAATAACTGATGTTTACTAAGACCAAAGCAAACCATTACAGAATGACAACAACAAAAAGGACCCATACCTTTTCACAATGCTTTCTTAATGATTAAGGTTTATTATGTATAGCCTTAGGACTATAGATCCATTTCAGTCTTTTCTCTACTTCCTATCAGCTCTGTGAATCACTATAGCTCTGAATATGCCTCTAAGTTCTCCAAAGAGCAAATGTATAGCTTTTGTGTTGGGCTGAATGACAACTATATGAGGTACCATGTGAGACACCCAGAGGCTTTTCCTCCATTTTCAGTTCATAATAAAACAGTTCTGTGCTTGAAAAACCTGAGGTTGTGGTATATTTGCCAGCATACTTTTAAGAAAACAACAACATCACTCATGCTCTATGTAACTTCTTACCAGGTATGATTTATTAGTAAACAATTCTAAGCTATTTAAAAACTTTCCATCTTTCTTATGTAGTATTAGAGCACCACCTTGTGTCAGAAATCTGACTAAATGAGCAGATATATCTATATTTTAGATACCTTAGTTGTCCAAAGTTTTACTGTCCAGTCAAATGATGAAGTGACAAAAAGATGTGAGAAGTCTACTGCTCCAACAGCTGCATGACAATGGATGCCAGTGATTGGTCCTTGATGTCCCTCAAACATCTCACTAATTCCAGCTTTGCTATTTCATAAAAGTAAAAATGTTAGGGATATCTTTTAAAGCAGTCCACTTATAAAAACATATTATGGTGGGTTTATATATCAGAGCTTGACTTAATTTCCACAAACTTAACTCTGTGCTCATAATGCATCAGAATAACTTACGTTGAGTGTTATCTATCCAGATTTGATAATACTACTAAAGGACTAAGTACATTTTGGAAGCATAAATACCATGCTGTTGACAAGAGAATTCAAAAGTACAATATCTGAGGTGGCAGAATTGAGACAAAGAAATATTATATGTAAGAGAGCCAATCTGGGCTACTTTTAAATCAAAAGCTTTGAAGTGAAGGTGATCTGTATTTGAGATAAAACCCAGACAATTTTTTTTAAGGAAGCAATTGATAAAGGTACAGCTAGACAATTTCAAAACAGATTGAATAGCGGGAAAAGTACTAGTCAATTTAAAATGTGTACGTGACATTACTGTATGATTATCAGGAGGATTGAACTAAAGCACAAAGTCCAAATAAATAAAAAAATAGGAAAACAGCTGAAAATCTTATTTATAAATTTGAAAGCCAGTATGTGGCATGTGCATATTGTATTTGTAATTGCTAAATTTCTTCCCTACCACTAACTTCTGTGAGTGCATGCACACACCACAATCCACAAAATCCAGAACACATCACGAATTAGAGATACTTTTTAAAAAGTTAACTTCTAAGTTTATATGCCTGAACTCAACCTGTCACAAATAATGAGCAGTTCTAGGACTAATTTCTACTCAAATAAGGGGCAACCTGTTTCAATGAGATTATTCAAGGGGGATTTTAAATAAGTGCAAATTCCAGTTCAGGTTTACCTGCCATGGCGGCATGCTGTGTACACAGAACCTTCTTCACTCCCAACAACAAAGTTGTTGACATCTCCAACAGGGAAAGACATAGATGTCACAGCTACTGCCTTTGACTGTTTGTGAACCAACTCCATGCTATCCTATATAGGGTGGAAAAAAGAAAAAAAAAAAAAAAAGAAAAGACGTTATTTTGTAAACAGTCAATTTTAAATTTTCAAAGAAAAACTTCTAGTTTTAAATAATTTTAAGAGATATTTAATATATTACTTACATAAACCACAGCTAAAGCAATCATGTTTGAAAATAAAAGATATACACAGCACAGTACTTTTGACACATGCTTAGATTTATAATCTGTTATTATATTATGAAACACTATGAAAAACATATGCTGGGGTATATACACAGTTTAAAAATAATAACATACTTCAAAATTTCAGTTTCGCAAGTTTAACCTACCTGTGGGTGGGAAAGCATGTCCAGACTCCATGAACATATTTTTCCATCAGTGGAGATGCTGATCAGATTGTGAGCATTTTGTGTTCCAACGACATTTACACAATAGACAGGATGCTAAAAACATGAAAAGAAAGTTTTCATGGATTATTTTACTAAAAAAAGAAGCAAAAATTGAAGCTTAATCATAGGTACTCTGTTTCATATCAAAAACTGTAGGTTAATCACAGGTATTCTGTTGTAACTTGAGGTTATTTTTAATGTGAAGTTTGCTGCTGTTCTATTGATTAACAAAAGGTTGTCTCAGAAGAGACATAAGTTCCTGATAAACAGATCTCCCAAAATAAAGAAAAAAGACCTTCGTTCTTGGTTGCTATCTGAGAAGCAGTTCATACACCAAAGGAAGCACATTTTGAAACCACTCTGGTAGACATACACTACTACGTAGTTATAGTGAAAGAGCATAGAAGTCTAAGGAAAATACCCTTATTATACTTACTGTGTGTGCAGCAGCTGACAGTGGAGTTCTCTGCACTGGTGTTCTTTTATTGCTACGGTTATCCCAAAGCACAATTTGGCCTGAATATGTACCACCAACAACAAGATTTGGATGAAATTTTGCAAATGTAGCAGACATCACAGCTGACTGCAAGTAGGATTTTTATATTTCAGATTTAAAAGGAAAAAGTTTAATAAGTTATAAAATCAATTTATTATTAAAAATATTTCCATCTGCACTATAGGTATTAGTAGCTATTGAGACAAATTCATTAAAATATTTAGAATATTTTTTGCTTAAAAGTAAAATGTAATGCCTACTATGTAACTATATTTTAAAAGTAATTTATCAAAGAAAGTAAAAAGTTATTTCATTTGATTGCAGTATTAGATAAATGGCCTTGCAACTGACACATGACTGTAATATGACAGAGTGTATTAAGTGTTTGTTTAGGATTATGACATTATTAAAAGATTTTAACTTATGCAACCAGAAAACACTTGCAAATTCTGTCTGTTAAATCCACTTAAAAAATCTGCAGCTGTTTCCTACTTGAACCATATGTTTCTACTTAAAACTATCTAGTTCCAATTCCTCAGGCCATGTATAAGTAATTCAGTGGGCAAACCATCTAATTGTATATTCAGTAAATAAGTTCCTGAGAAACTCCCTATAGAAATACGTTTTATAAAAGATTCCATATATATGATCAATCACAAGAACAGAAAATCATAACTGTGAAGGGCTTTCAGTGTGATTAAACATTATAAGACATGTCAGTAAAGCTACAAAAGCCAGATTATGTTGAACTGAGAAGTCAGTTTTCTGTTAACATCTGTTTGCAAACATAAAGTGGTTTAGTAAATGCCAATCCAATGAAATCATAATGTTGACAAGAACAGAAAAAAAGGCACCTGTCTAAATTCATTAATGAATCCTTAAACTTGTGGAAGACTGTTGAAAGACCATTTTACCTGGCAGTGGAACACATACTCTGGAGTAGTTTTTTTGTATTTCATATTCCATACAAGGGCAACACCATCAGGTTCATGAGGAGCATCTTCATTGTTATTATAGGAAGCCACAAGTAACTCAGGATACTGCTTGTCAGAACCAAGTAGAAAAGAAAGGGAATGCATAATAAGAACTATTTCTTGACTATCCGATTATTCTGAAAAGTACAAATATCTACCACTTCACCAATTAAGAAATCTCTTTCTTATTTGACTATCAGATAATTGTGAAAGTACAAATATCTAATACTTCTAAGAAAGACGTCTCTATATTTATATTAATTGGGATATCAGTACAATTTTATTTATTTTTTGTTTTAGAGATGGGGTTTTGTTAAATTGCCCAGGCTGGCATTGAACTTGTGAGTCCTCCTGCCTCAGCCTCCTGATTAGCTGGAATTACAGGCATGTGCCACTGTGTCTGGCATTAGTACAATTTTAAATTAGTACAGTTAATTCTTTAAAATATTTTAATATTAAAAAATTTAATTGAAGTATGTGTTTGTATTTCATACAAAGTATTTTGTGAGTAACTGAAATCAGTAAAGCTAGGTTTTGGCATAAGGTTCTGAATTTCAAATATAAATAATATTTCCATTTCTTTCTTCCAAAGTACTTAAGATGAAATGAATATGGTAACACAGAACCATCATCCATTATTCAATTTTAAATGATACATACTGATTTAATCATACAAAGTTCCTATAACTAAAATAAAACCACATGCTAATTATAATTTAAAAAAACTTAATAATAACCAATTTTGTTATATTTTACCTGAGATGACCAATCCAAACAACTAACAACCCGATGCTTTGACCAACGTTCATCAAAAAATTGCCGGTTTAATGATAGTTTAGCACCTGCTTGAATCTCTCTACAGAAAAAACCAAATCCAAAAAAAGACTGTTATGACTTATGTCATTCTTAATCTTAAAATAATTTAACACTGCTGAAGCTGTTGTGTTATCAATTAAACATTACCCTTCTTTGTCTTCCAGATCTCTCCCACTATAGTCAAAGAAGATGTTAATCTGTTCAGAAAGAGCTCTTTCTACAATTCTTGTAGAATGGTCAAAGAAACTTAAAAATTCCTCTGAGTGTAAGATTTGTTGCTTTTCTTCTTCAGTCAGCTCATGAGGCGGAGCTGGAAAATGAATATTTTTTTTAACTATAATTTATGTTAGTCAAATTATGTCAACTCAGTATAACAGGATTCAGGGAATGCCACACATTCTTTTTAAACATTCACCTCTTTTTATTTAGAGCATTTCATTCTATTTTAATTGCTTAATAAATAATAAATCTTAAGAAGAATAAAAAAAAAATTTAAAGTTAAATTCTTTAAGTTACCTTTACTTTCATTTTCTTCATCTTTTTTTAAAACTTTCTCTTCTTCAGGTTCAATAGGTGGTTTAGGAGTCACTACATCATCATCTTCCTCTTCATCTAAAAAACAGAAAAAAACAAATATTATTTTCATGAAAATAGCTAGTAACTCTGAGGTAGTAATTTCCAAAGGTATCACAACTCCCTAGATAAAAGCAAAAGCAAATCACTGTGCCAAGAATAAGTACAAATAATATGAGCTTTCCCAACACAATCTTAAAGAATTAAGTGGAACCCTCTTGCCTTTTATACATACCTATGTGGTACCGCATCAACAGTCACACTAAATTCTATAGCTACATAAGCGGAAACAAGATATATAAGCATGTAGGACGAATTCCTCATGGAAGTCTCTAAAAGCTTGCAAGCATTTATCATTCCAGACAGAATAACATGCAACTCCTGCATAGTTTTATATAGCATGCTGACACATTAATGCTGTAGAATGAAGAAAATCAAATGTCTAAAATAGCCCACAGAGCTGGCTGCTTACTTGTGATCTAAAACCATCAGTGTCTAATGGGTCTTCATATGGCATAAAGACGGCTTACATTAACTCTCAGGTTGCTATTTGAGAGGCAGATTTTAAAGATAATAGCTACAGGACCACATTTTCTATTCTGTCATTTTAAATGCAAGTCTCATTATCCATCGTTGTATGATGTGGCAATAAGCACTTATAATAATGCTTTCTTTAGTTTTAATAAAAATACATATTAAGATATACGTTTCAAAGACTAAATTACCCAAATCTCACATTCCCAAACCAAGAAGTAACTTAAAATAATTTATTTAAAAATGTTACAGGACATGTAACCTTGTCTACCTTCTCTTTTGCAACAAACTGAGATAGGTTTTTTTATGAAGAAAATCCTTATTTTCATTACTAAGCATGTGTTATCTGTCTATAAAGGGAGGCAGCAGACACCTGCAGCAGAATGTATCTCAAGTAATGAGAGCCTGTTCAACATAGGGACTTCACTTGTTATAGTCATTTCCTTGACCCATGTACAAAATCATCTAAAACACACATACATACAATGTGCACAAAAGAATGGTCAAGGATGGGAACCAGCTGCCAAGTCAAGGTCCCAGCAGCCAGGCCAGCTGACTAGATAGCAACAACCAGATGGCACTGCTGGGATTGTGTCTTTCTGCTATAAGGTGGCAATGGGATGGCATAACATTCTTACGCTTGACTGCCTCCAATCCTGTGTCTCTCCCCAATGGTGAGCCTGTGCAATTACCCGCACTCCAGGAGGCCTACAGACAAGCCTTTACCCTGCAAACAAAATGCAGCTTGTAGGCCACACCAGCTGCCAAACCACACACATAGTGTTAGGCTTAGAGAGCTATGAAAATCTTTCTAACTCTACAGTATAAGCAATAAAAATATAACTGTACCTGTGGAAAGAAAGCTTCAAATGACACTGTATAATGCACACAATGATACAACCTCCAACTTAATCAAAATGATAATGACGTATGCCAATCCTACATTACTTGAAATTGAGCGATTTTTACGTTCTGACAAGTTTACAGAACTAGGATAAATGGCAAGAATGATTTCAATATATGCTCATACTTTTGAACCAAATGGTGAAGGTTAAAATTTTTCCTTTCAAGGGCCTCAATCAGCCACAAAGGAAAACAGTAATCACTGTCTTTTCAGCCAGCCCAACCGCATTTGTCAGCCCTTTCTCCGTCAATGCAGCCAGAGCAATCAACCTGCCAAACATTCAGAATGGAAAAACAATCTGAAAATACAGGGTATAATGCACCTGCCAGTGAAAATGGCCATTTCAAGAAAAGCTAGTGATCTCAGTGACCCTGCTGAGGAGGCGGTGGTGCAAAGGGGAAAGAACACGTAAAAGAATTCTTAGTGATCGCCACTCTCTTGCACATTGACACTTCCTTACAAAGCATGCCAATTACAGCTTTTGTGCTACTTAAAAAAATGAAAGCTTTTTTGGGCAAAATAATCACATAGAGAAACAGAAAGACACTACTCCTTTTTAGATGAATTCTCATATATGACAGATTATTAATCTGAAAACAGTATAACTGCTGGGGATGCTATACTATACTGCTCAAACATTAGGATAAAATTCTGCCATAGTCATCTGCAGGTGTAATGTAATAAAATAATTTAATTACATTTAACTCAAAAGTTGACTTTTAGAAAAGGACATTTACTTCAATTAAATATTCAGTGTGAGAAAAAGTACATTATATATTTTATCTTCTGCTAATTCTGTTAGCTTTCCTAATCAATTTTGTTAACCAGTAGAGTTCTTTGGATATAAATCCTAAAATCAAGGAGAGATTTTGAGTTACTTGGACAGGTCATTCTTAACCACAGTGAATTAAGAGATTTTGAGTTACCTGGACAGGTCATTCTTAAACACTGTGAATTATAAATTACAGCCTCCTACCCACATCTTATTCTCCTCCATCAACTTTGTTGACTTATCTGGCTTCTAAGTACCATTTCCAGTGACAGGTGTCAAATTCCTGTTATAATGCATATGGCCAGTATTTTAGTGCTAAGTGACCTCATAATCTACATATTTAACAAAAAAGGTCTTGTTTACAGACATTCTTTTCCTTTTAGTATTTAAAATGTAGATGAAGTTTGTTAGTGATCTGCATCTGCCTGTTTACAGCAATTGCCATGGGCCACGTGTCCTATAATTATTTTAGTTGTAGTTAAATGAGTATCAACTATTTAAATATATGGTTTCAGATTTTTACTTTAGAATCAATGTATATACTTCCCCTTCTATGTGGATTAAAAGTGAATTCAGAAATTATAATTGGGACTTAAACTCAAGCTTTATTAAAATGATTAAGCTAAATAAATTTCCAGGAAAATAAAAACAGGTATGCTGTTCTGAAAAATTTCAAAATGTCACACTTTTTGTCTAAGCTGAGCTTAAGCAATTATCAACATATATCAAAAACATCTAGCAAAAATGCCTAACTTCGATAACATCAGATTGAAGAATGTTCCTTTGAAACAAGGAACATTCTTATCATAAACTAATAAATAGTGACTAAAAGACTATTAACATGGCCAAAAAATATAGTATTATAGTTCTAAAGATTTTCTTAGCTAGTCTCTTTTACATGATAAACTATAATATATTAAAACTGGAAAAGACTAACAGAGCAAGAAGACTGAAAAATAGGACTGCTATGGCACATCAATTTACTGATGAATATTCATTACAATATGCTAAGTGGTTAACTCCATGCTTTCTCTGACAGGGAACTAAAGTTACAAACTGAGCAGTAAAGAGTGCAGAAAAGTAGCAGTTACTTTTGAAATGACAAATCTCTTGTCAATGAATTCTACAACGAGGCTTAATGAACCAGTGAATTTTTACTTTGAGTTAACATCAAAATTGTGATGTATTTTGGTAAGATGGAAAGAAAAGCTGTTCTGTAAATTAAGCTGCACCTAGAAATAATACCAACCAGTGAAATCCCAGTTGTTGGAATAATCTGTTACAATGGAATAGGTTAATCAAAGTTAAATCATCTATGAAATGGGTGGCTTTTGTTAAAGTGAAGGACGGAGTCTTTGAACAAGTTTTCTCTATATGTCATATTACATTTAAGATAAAATAAGCCATAAACATACTTTTAGTAGTTAAAAACATTATAGCACATTAAAAACGAAATATGTAAGATTAAAAAAAATCCTTAACAAACATGCTAGTTATGAATATATATTCATAACTTATGATTCTTAATATGAAGTAAAAAACAAAGTGCATTGTTGTTTAAGAAATACATTTGCTCTCAATTCACTATGTAGTCTTATTATACTGACATATACTTTTCAGATAATTTAATATCTTATACAGAATTCTTAACTTACAAAATAGTTTGATTATTCATGGTACAAAGAAATTTGATAATCAGTTCTAAAAATTGGGAAATTTGTTGCTTATAAAAATTGATTCACTCTACTGTTATGTATAACTAAAAAGAATAAAAATAAATTTAAAAAATTGATTCAATTGAAAAAATTCAATTTAAAACTTTGCAAACATTTATAAGAACACAAGAGGAAATGCTTCAATTATTAGTTCAAAATATAGGCTATATAGGAATATTTTTTCCTTTTTTATTTTCAGAATAATCTTTTTCTTTGATCAACATAATTTTGAATTACTCAATTTCAATCAATTTTTCCATAATTTCATCTTCTTATACCATAAAAATAACATTCACATTTAAAAGAATCTTCACTGGAACAAAGCTTCATCAATCCTTCTATGGAATCTACTCCTTATTTTAAACATCTAGAATAAGATATAAGGTCACTTGTTATTTCCTTAATAATCTAAATTTTCAACTGGGGAAAAATATATGGCTGGCTTTTTAATGAGGAAGTATTTTCAATATAGATACAATGCTAATCTGGGGAAAAATAAGGAGTAGTAGTTTATACCACTTTATTTTAATATGGATTCTCTACGTAACATTTTTTAAATGTAAAATTTGGATTTTATTGTGGAAGTATTGGCATGACAGATTCTGTTATCTGTGATCCCATCAAATATTACATTTTTCTAAGGCTATAATTATAAACATCCCATTAAAGTCTTTCAATCCAAGATTAAGAACAGATGCCACAATTTTATTATATTCTTACAGAAGGTTCAAACTAATTTATTAAGTATATTATTTCAGAATTTTTATTTAAAAAATCCCTTTTAAATAAAGGCAATACCATCTTAACCAGAAGGCCTACAAATTTGACCTATTTGGGAAATATGAATTCCAGGTATTAAGACCATTTAACAAAATAGTAAGAGTTATTGATATATAATAACTTTATATATATCACAAATACTAATCAACAGCTATTGAGGCAAAGTATATCTAGCCATCAAGCCAATACCAATAGTAAGAAAGTGGAATGAAACAACAAAACATGACATTTCGGGCTGGAGTTGTGGCTCAGTGGTAGAGTGCTCGCTTAGCACATGCAAGGCTCTGGGTTCGATCCTCAGCACCACATACAATAAATAAAATAAAAGTATTGT